AGATCTTGAGATGTTGGAGGGTTTAGAAAGAGAGCTCACACCATGGGAGGCAACATATTTAGACGAGCTTCATGAGAGGAGGAATATTGAGGAGTATGAACGACAACTCATTGAAGCCCGAGAAGCGATGGTGGTTGAGAACAATAAAGGGGAAGGAGAGATTAATTTCTTAATCCTTGAGGACAAGGATAGTCTTGAAGAGGAGGGGAATGATACGGAAGTGGTCATCAACCCTGGTGAGTCCGACAATGATGATGGCAATGATCTCGTTTTATGGTTGGAAAACATGTTGGAAGAGCCATCTAGTCCAATTCACCGGCCATCATGTGTAAGGGATTGGCCGAAAGGATGTGGTCCAAAGGCTGGGTTGAAGCCTAAGAGGTGCAAGGTCAAAAGAACTCGAAGGAAACACAAGGCAAAAGCTAAAGAAGAGAAGTGTTGGTGCAAGCCTTGTTCAAGGAAGAGACGAGTTCACAAGATGGTGGCTCGAAGGGGTGGTAGGAGTAGAAGGGAGGATGGTTGGATTTGGAGAGTGGGTGACTGCATTGGGATGGATGGATGGGATCCATGGCTAACGGGGCCGGACGGCAGAAGGGTCGAGGGAGATCGGATATCGGGCGTGGGGCGCGCATCGGGCCGTGATGCGCGCGAACATACGAGGGATCGAATGGCGCGCAAGTGGTCCAACGATCAAGCAAGAGATACGCGGGCGATTGGTGCACGAGTCGAGGAACGCGATGAGGAGCGCACGCGGGCAGCGCTGGCAATGCGAGGGTGCACGACGGTCGAGCAGGCCGTGGGCGTTAGCGGTACGTACAAAGTAGGGGACGGCAGGCGTGCGGGATGCGCAAGGCGCGCGGTTGGCAGGTACGCGAGGGGAGGCCCATACCGAGAAGGAGTAGGAGTGCTGGGCGTGAGTATGCACGCGCAGGCGGGACGCGGCAGGGGCGAAGCTCGTGCGACAGCGCGCGCGTGTGAGGGGCGCGCGCGGGACCTAGTCACGAAAGGACTAGGCAAGTATGGCGGTGACGTGCGCGACACGGCGCGCGCATGGACAGCAGGGGCAACGGGCGCATGCCTATGCTCGGAAGGCGTAGGCAAGGGGCGCTGGCACGCACGCGCGGGGAGAAAGGCAGTGAGGCTGGGCGCGCGCGCAGGCGCGCGCGTGTGGTAGGGGCGCGCAAGTCCTAAGGCACCGAGGATTAGGCAAAGCGGACGGGCGGCGCGCATACGCGTGCGACGCGGACAAGTGAGGCGGCTGAAGGGTTTTTGTGCATATGAGGAGTTTGGAAGCTTCTAGATTTGCTTGGTGTGCAAGCCAAGCATTAGTGTTTTGGTAGGTTTAGGATTTTATTGCTTTCTAGACTTAGGATTTAATATTTAATTATTTATTTAGTTTCCTAGTAAGATTAGATCTAGAGATAGTTGGTATCTATAAATA